GTATATATAATCTGACAACAAACAGCAGCAGCAAAGAACAAGCAGCTAAATGCTGCACCAGCAACCAGCAGCAGCAGCCGCAGCAGCAGCAGCAGCAGCAGCAGCAGCAGAAGCAGCAGCAGCAGCAGGAGCGGCAGCAGCAGCAGCAGCAAACAAGCAGCAGCAACAAACAAACGAGCAAAGAAATAGCAGCACCAAGTAAACAGAAAGCAGCAGCAAATAAATAAATAAGCAGCAGCAACAGACAGCAGCAGCTGCAGCAACTGCTGAAGCACCCCACTGCGCTGCCTAAGAAGAAACCTCAACACGCACACAGCAGCAACAAACCATACAGCAGCAGCAAGAGCAGCAGCAGCAAGAGCAGCAGCAGCAAGAAACAGCAGCGAGAAACAGTAGGAGCAGCAGCAGCAGCAACAGCAGCAGCAGCAACAGCAGCAACATGAACACCCCCTGCAGCAGCAACACGGCAAAACGCAGATGTGCTGCAGCAGCACCAGCGACAACAGCAGCAGCTGCTGCTGCAGCAGCAATCCTAGCACCTAGAAGCGAGCATAAACAGCAACAGCAGCAAAAACAGCAGCAGCAGCAGCAGCAGCAGCAGCAGCAGCAAAAACAGCAGCAGCAGCAGCAGCAGCAGCAGCAGCAGCAGCAGCAGCATACGTAAGAGCATGGGCCCATTGGGTGATATTCATTTTGCTGCAGTTCTCCTCCCAGCTGTCTCCACCCCATCGAAGCCTCCACACACAAATGCTGCTGCTGCTGCTGCTGCTGCTGCTGCTGCTGGCGTTGCTGCTGCTGCTGTCGCTGCTGCTGCTGCTGCTGTCGCTGCTGCTGCTGCTGTTGCTGCAGCCTGGGCCCTTCGCAGCATCCTGAGGCATGTTTGCTGCTGCTGCTGCTGCTGGTGCTGCTGCAGCTGTAGCTGCTGCAGAAGGCGGCAGCAGCAGCAGCAGCAGCGCTTCTGGTGATAAGAGATAGCGAGATGCATCGTCTGCTGCTGCTGCAACAGCAGCAGCAGCAGCAGCAGCAGCAGCAGCAGAAGCAGGCAGCAACTCTTTGTATCGTAACAGGCGAGAGGGAGGAGCAGCACAGGGAGCAGGCGTAGGGACGCAAGCTGCTGCTGCTGCTGCTGTTGTCGTTGCTGCTGCTGCTGTTGTTGTTGTTGCTGCTGTTGCTGCTGCAGCTCCGGGGTGGTCCTGGCGCCTCTGCAGCTGTTCCTGCTGCTGCAGCTCCGCTTGCTGCTGCATTCTGCTGCTGCTGCTGCTGCTGGTGCTGCTGCTCCCAGGGAAGAAAGAGAGGCTCTCTAATTGGTCCTGTGAAGACACAAAGCTAAGAGTTGCTGCTGCATGCCTGCGGTGACGACTGCAGCAGCAGCACCGCTGGGCTCCCCTGCTGCCGTCTTCTTGCTGCTGCTGCTGCTGATGCTGCGTTAGG